TAGCCCATCTTTTTCGGAGATCGTCCACTTTTCCAACTGGATCAAGATTGAATTCAGTAAGATATGTTACCAAGTCTTCTTGCTTTAGCATATAGGCCCAGGAGACCTTCAACATTGTCTTTTCGTTTGACATTTTTTTTTTTTTTTTTTTTTTTTTTAACTGTTTTTTTTCACTGGGTTTTCATCTGTATTTGTCTAATTATTGTTCACTCATTTATTTATTCTTTCTCTCTTTTATGGTCCCTGCTCGGGCGCCATTGTGTCGACGTGTTTTCACTTTGAAGCTGGGGTAGGTTCAGCGGGGGCCAGAGTCGTCACAAAAATTTATTTGTTAGGACATAAAGAGAGAGAGAGCGAAGCAAAAATATTTTCTTAAAACGTTATAAATTTATTTCCTTAAATAACACTAAACACTACACTAAACACAATAAAATCACGTTCAGAACTTTTTACGAAGAACACTAAATCACAAAGTTCAGTCGAAATGTTAATAAACGGGTAGCAGTGGTGGCAGCTTGGCACAGCGGCGGCCCGATGAATAGGCGAGCGACGAATAGAGTGGCGGCAGCTTGGCACAGCGGCGGCCCGATGAATAGGCGAGCGACGAATAGGGTGGCGGCGGCTTTGGCACAGCGGCGGCCCGATGAATACGTCAGCGGCGAGTAGTAGTGGCGGCAGCTTGGCACAGCGGCGGCCCGATGAATAGGCGAGCGACGAATAGGGTGGCGGCGGCTGTGGCACAGCGGCGGCCCGAGGAATACGTCAGCGGCGAGTAGTAGTGGCGGCAGCTTGGCACAGCGGCGGCCCGATGAATAGGCGAGCGACGAATAGGGTGGCGGCGGCTTTGGCACAGTGGCGGCCCGATGAATACGTCAGCGGCGAGTAGTAGTGGCGGCAGCTTGGCACAGCGGCGGCCCGATGAATAGGCGAGCGACGAATAGGGTGGCGGCGGCTTTGGCACAGCGGCGGCCCGATGAATAGGCGAGCGGCGAATAGGGTGGCGGCGGCTTTGGCACAGCGGCGGCCCGATGAATAGGCGAGCGGCGAATAGGGTGGCGGCGGCTTTGGCACAGCGGCGGCCCGATGAATACGTCAGCGGCGAGTAGTAGTGGCGGCAGCTTGGCACAGCGGTGGCCCGATGAATAGGCGAGCGACGAATAGGGTGGCGGCGGCTTTGGCACAGTGGCGGCCCGATGAATACGTCAGCGGCGAGTAGTAGTGGCGGCAGCTTGGCACAGCGGCGGCCCGATGAATAGGCGAGCGACGAATAGGGTGGCGGCGGCTTTGGCACAGCGGCGGCCCGATGAATAGGCGAGCGGCGAATAGGGTGGCGGCGGCTTTGGCACAGCGGCGGCCCGATGAATACGTCAGCGGCGAGTAGTAGTGGCGGCAGCTTGGCACAGCGGCGGCCCGATGAATACGCGCACGACGAATCGGGTGGCGGCAGCTTTGGCACAGCAGCAGCCCGATGAGTACGTCAGTCGCCGTCAACGCAGCCCGAAGAATAGGGAGTATTGCTACAACCCTCACTTGACCCTGCGTTCAGTCGCCGTCAACGCAGCCCGAAGAATAGGGAGTATTGCTACAACCCTCACTTGACCCTGCGTTCAGTCGCCGTCAACGCAGCCCGAAGAATAGGGAGTATTGCTACAACCCTCACTTGACCCTGCGTTCAGTCGCCGTCAACGCAGCCCGAAGAATAGGGAGTATTGCTACAACCCTCACTTGACCCTGCGTTCAGTCGCCGTCAACGCAGCCCGAAGAATAGGGAGTATTGCTACAACCCTCACTTGACCCTGCGTTCAGTCGCCGTCAACGCAGCCCGAAGAATAGGGAGTATTGCTACAACCCTCACTTGACCCTGCGTTCAGTCGCCGTCAACGCAGCCCGAAGAATAGGGAGTATTGCTACAACCCTCACTTGACCCTGCGTTCAGTCGCCGTCAACGCAGCCCGAAGAATAGGGAGTATTGCTACAACCCTCACTTGACCCTGCGTTCAGTCCAGTCCAGTCACCACAAATAGTCAAGGCTTATTGTTTGGCTTACTAAGACTCAATTCAACCGAGGTTGCGCGCCTTTTCTTCCTCCCAATCACACTTGACTTACCAGCCATCAACAGAAGACTGATCCCGATTGGGTGAAATGCGTCTCCTTTTATACCTTTTTGGCTGGACAACGATTGTTGTTTTCTCATGACAGCAGCTGATCCCAATCTGACAGTTTTGCGTAGTTCCGCCATTTGCCACCAGGGGTTCCAATGTTGTATTTTAAGTATACTTCTTTCTACTAGGGGACAATAATAATGTACCCCAAAAACGAAAGCATGACTTTTGGGCGTTACAGTGAGCGTTATATTTATTTAAAATTTTGACCCTTTGTGGGGGGGGGGGTGTACTTGATGGATTGGACCGATATTGTCCATTTTCGCACCTGACCTACAAATGACGCAATTATTTGCAAAGTTGGAGCAAAATCGGGTTATCTTCCTGTGCAGAATTTTTTTTTTCAAATTTTCGATCTTTTGTTTGGAGTTCCCGGAAGGAGTGAACCGTTATGGCCCATCTCCGAAGTAGATCTAAATTTGACAATAATATTTCGATGTACCAAGTTTAGACCAATTTGGATACTTCCTTGGAAATTTTTTCGTGCCCACCAGCCAGCCAGACGAACGGACGGATATCGCTAGATCGACTCCAAATGTCCTGAAACGGAGTTGATCCAAAGCGACCTATGGCCTAAAACCGTTATTTCGATGAGATACGTTTTGGCAGTGGGTTTTCTTCTTTTTAATTTTTTTTTTTTAAGAAACAGCAATCGTGTCGAACATTGGTTTTAAAATTGAAAACAAGTAAGCAAAGGCTACAGTCGTGCGGGGCCGACTATATTATACCCTACAACACTACAATATGTTAGAAGCCCCCTTATGTCCAAATCCATATTGGAAGATTTCGATTTAATCCATATTGGAAGATTTAGGATTTAGGAGATTTAGCATTTTGACTAAGGACATTTGCCGAACATTTATGCACTCCGTCGGGCTGTTAGTTGTTGTAGTCCATTTTACAGCTAAATATAATCCAATGGTCACACAAAATGCTAGACTTCTTCCCTGTCCTTAAATCTCTTCTCAGGCAAAATTCCGTGTCGATTGGTTTCAATTGTGCGATCCGGAAAATTTATCTGTTTTTGGTTCATTTGAACACCTAAATATTTTGCAATCCTCTCCAAATTTAGACTCATCTATATGATTTGCTTGTTTACGATATTTGGCTATATTCGTCAACGAAATCAGCATAAAAAGCCGGATGTCGCCTGTAAGTAATGCTGGTATTTTTTCACATAAAATTAGTGGTCCACTTCGTGTCCTTTGGTTTCTATTTGTGACTTTTATAACGGCTGCAAAATCAGGAAAATTATTAGTTGTTGGTCCATTTCAACCCCCTAATATATTGCGGACGTCTTTGAAAACAATAGGCCTAGCCCTTCTGAGCCCAACCCTACCCTTGTGAAAATTTTCTTGAGGATCGGACGATATTTACAATACTTATAAAATATCCCCAACCGGTGTTCTAAGGTGAAAAAATATTACAAAATATTATAAGTCAAATTGAAAAAATCGCATGCGATAAAAAAAATATTAAAAAATAAAAAAATTTCACAAAATACTACAAAATCTATATTAACATCATTATTGGCATATTATTCTGCGATTTTTTTTAGATTTTACACTTTTATCTCAAGAGGGCATTCTGAATTTACAAAATTTCAAAATTCAAAATCGGTCCAGCCATTCTTGAGATATAAGCATTCTAACTAACATCCCCTTCCTTTGTATATTTGTACACATTGTATATATTTCACTATATATAACCGATATATTTACTATCGGCATCTACGGAACAGGTCAATTTTGTCCGTCTATTTGTGATTTCGATGGGATTAAAAATATTTGCGGTTCAGTGGAAAATTTGACTTTTATTTAACACAAATGTTGTGTCCTATTTCACCCACTAAATATTACCCAATGACCATTAAAATTGGAAGGCTTCTGCCCAGCCCTAAGCTCTAGCCCCGTGCTAACTTCCGCTTTTGTTGGTCTATAATTGCAAACTGTAGAGCAACTGCAAAACCAGGATTTTTTCAGGTTTTGGTCCATTTCACCCCTAAATATCGTGCGATCATCTCCAAAAACAATAGGGTTCTATTCTGACCTTAACCCCACCTCCATTTTCAATTTCGTGAAGATCGGGCCATAATTGCGACCTGTAGAGTGATTACAAATTAACATTGACAGACGGACAGACAGACGGACGGACATACATAGCTAGATCGACTCAGCTCGGCGAGCTAGGGAGATCCATATATACTTTCCTATGTGGGAAACCAATATTTCGTGGTGTTACATAATTGTTGGCCCAATCAAACTTATAATACCCCCAACACATAGTGTTGTAGGGTATAAATATTATTTTTTACACGACTATTGATTTCATTTAACTTATAAATGTAGACCCATTTGCCAAGTAGACTTCAATGTGGACAACTATCCATTTTGCATTTTTAACAAAATTCGAAAAAAAATCTTTTTCCCACTGTCCATTCTTGAGATTTTAAAATTATGCTCTCAATATTCCCATAAATTATGTTCCACTTTAATTTATTTTATAGTTAAACACCATTCCTGCACTTCGTTGGAACATGAATGTGTGGAAAATTTACGATGAAATTACATTTACCATACAATGTCCTTTTTATGAAGAGAAATTCAAAAAACAAAAAGAAGCAAAACCAAAAAAAAAAAAAAAACTGGGACAATCTTTAGAGTTAAGTTAATGTCTGGTGATAAATCAGGATTTTATTATGCTCGCGTTTTTTTTTTTTTATGTTCTTGTCATCTCCATCGCGCCATTAGTTTCTTAGTTAGTGTGTACTAGTATCAGTACGCGTACATAGTACAGAGTTGATTGTATGCTACTACATTACTCTACTTCATACTTACTCGATGTGAATGTGTAATCCCACCAATCGGTTTTACATAAAAATGCCTTCAGATCATCCGCTGTCCTGCCAACCACTACATCTGGCGGCGAGACCAGGGTTCGCACCAGAAGACATGTTCCGATGGCGCCACAGATACAACCCAAACGCTTAAGTAGAGCAGCATCCGTTATTTTAACAGCTTTTGCAGAACGTACACGAAATATAACCGATATCCTGGTTATCGGCGAGGGGTAGGTTTGGTTGGGTTGTGTTAGAGTGTGTATGACAGCAACACCGTGGAAGACCAGGATTTAAGGCGTGTGCGTTCAATGGCGTGTACCAAATCGAATAAAGAATAAGAAGAAAACAAATGAAACATGAAGAACAACAAGAAGAAATAGGACATAAAGCCGAATGAGAACAAGAAAAATATACAATTTAATTTCTTTTTCCACCAATATGTGTTTTGTGACAGTAAATTGTAGATTGCTGAAAGATTGTGGATGTGTGTGTGGGAAACGTTTGTGGAAAGTTGCAAATACACTGAGAAAAATATATGAGGAAATAATCAAACATTTTAAAGAAAAGGCTTTAGTCAAGGAAGTACTGTAACAGTTTTTCATTTCCAAAACTATAATAGTTTTGAAGGTAGTAAAAAATATTTTTTCAAAAATCCTGGGAGTCACAGATGTCAAAATTTAAGAATATTTTTTTAAATATGAGTTTAAACCTTGACTTTTTATATCCTTCACCATACTATGGAGTGTATATTAGCTTTGTCATTCCGTTTGTAACTCCTCGAAATACTCATGTCAGACCTAACAAAGTATATATATTCTTGATCTGCGTAAAATTCTAAGACGATTTAGCGATGTCCTTATTTTTTCAGTAGGCAGGATAAGTTCATAAATGGGCCATGAGGGTCTACGTTTTCATATAGCCCCCATTTAACGGTACCTCCCGATATTCGGTATTTTGATGATTTTAGCGACATTACTTACCGGAATTATTTCAAATTACGTATTTAGAGTTCGTAATGGGAACTACAGTCTGTGGCAGAAAATTGTCCATGCACGTCCAGGTCTTCGTATAGGCCCCATATAACGGTACCTCCCTATATTCGGTATTTTGACGAGTTTAGATACAGGGTTGCCCATATTCGACGGACCCATCTGGCAACGCCATAACTTTTGACAGAGATGTCACATCGCTTCATGACATACCGCGTTTGAAGCGTCAGTCCAAGCAGATTTTTACCATGAACCAATACACGCCACGCGAGCGCTCTGAAATAATTAAAATTTACATTCAACAGAAGAAGTCAATTGTGAAAACTCAACGTGCTTTTAAAACATTAAAAAATGTGAGAAGTGCGCCTTCTAAGAACACCATTAAGCGTTTATACGAACAATTTTCGACTAGTAAGGCTCTTTCTAATCCGAAGAGGCCATATAAAAGTCGACCAAGGCGATCGGCCGAGAATATCGCTGTCGTACGAGCCAGAGTTGAGAGGTCCCCAAGAACATCCCAAAAACGCCGTTCTTAGCAGTTGGGCATGACTCGGCCCACTTTACAACGGATTATTCGCATTGATTTGCATTTGTTCCCGTACAAAATTCAATTGACGCAAAGAATGTTGCCTGCGGACAAGCCTCGTCGATTGGAATGGGCCCAAAGAGTCATCGAAACGGCCGAAGATGACGAGCAATTTTTGAACAAAATGATCATGTCCGATGAAGCCCATTTCACATTGAATAAATAAGTAAATAAGCAAAATTGCCATTTTTACGCCACTGAAAATCTTTAGGATATTCGAGAAGTACCTCTTCATGACGAAAAAGTCACAGTTTGGTGCGGCGTTAGTGTGGAAACGGTCATTGGACCGTTTTTCTTTCAAAATGAAAATGGCCATGCTGTTACCATCAATCAGGAGCGTAATCGCGACATGATGACCTATTTTGTGATGCCAATTATTCGTCGAAAGCGTATGAGGCAGTTCTGGTTTCAACAAGACGGCGCTCCACCGCACACAAGTCGCATAACAATCGATTTTCTAAAGAATCTGCTATTACAGAAAATATTCTTTAATAGGCTGGAGCATCCATTACGAACTTAAAATTCGACATCTCAAACAATTTCGGTGGGTATTGTACCTATTGTACCTTGGCAAAATACCGAATATAGGATGGAACTGATATATCGCGCCTATACGAATACCTGGACCTGCATAGACAATTTTCCGTCACAGATTGTAGTTTCCATTGCGAACTCTAAATGAGTAATTTGAAACAATTACGGTGAATATTGACGCTAAAATCATCAAAATAGCGAATATCGGGAGGTACCTTTTTATGAGGGCTATACGAAGACGTGAACCTGCACAGACAATTTTCTGTTGTAGGCTGTAGTATCCATTACGAACTTCAAATACCAAATTTGAAACAATTCCGGTTAATAATGTCGCTAAAATCATCAAAATACCGAATATTGGGAGGTACTGTTATATGGGGGCTATACGTAGACGTGGACCTGCACAGACAATTTTCTGTTGTAGGCTGTAGTATCCATTACGAACTTCAAATAACAAATTTGATATAATTCCGGTTAATAATGTCGCTAAAATCAAAAAAAAAAAAAAAAAAACGAATAACAGGGGGTACCGTTGTATGGGGGCTATACGAAGACGTGGACCTGCACAGACAATTTTCTGTCGTAGGCAGTAGTATCAATTTCGAACTTCAAATACCTAATTTGAAACAATTCCTGTTAATAATGTCGCTAAAATCATCAAAATACCGAATATCGGGAGGTACTGTTATATGGGGGCTATACGAAGACGTGGACCTGCACAGACAATTTTCTGTTGTAGGCAGTAGTATCAATTTCGAACTTCAAATACCTAATTTGAAACAATTCTGGTTAATAATGTCGCTAAAATCATCAAAATACCGAATATCGGGAGGTACTGTTATATGGAGGCTATACGAAGACGTTGACCTACATGGCCTTTTTACGAACTTATCCTGCCTTTTGGAAAAATAAACATGTGTGCAAAATTTTAGCCTTCTATCCCAGTTCGTTCGAAAGATAGAGTGACTACAATAGACAGGCAGACGGACAGACAGGCGGACATCGCTAAATCGACTTTAAGAATTTTACGCTGATCAAGAATGTATATACTTTGTTGGGTCTGAAATGAGTATTTTGAGGAGTTACAAACGGCATGACAAAGATAATATATCTCCATAGTATGGTGGAGGGTATAATATATAATAAATAAAATAAATAATAAATGAATAAATAAATAAATATATAATAATAGTCCAATTACTTGTGTTTAATTTAAATAAAATTGATATTAATTTTCTCTCAGTGCACTTACATCAAAAGAAACTTGAAGACGGAACTTTTTCTTTGCTTCATTTGCCGTTTCCGGTTCGATTACAGTTCTAAGAATTGTAAATCTGATAGGCTTAATATAAAACGATTTCATTGTTTAATATTATATAAAAAAAATACTAGACAAATACGCACACACACACACGTATACACATTTACACATACTTACATCCATATATTTATATACTTACCGCCATGTTTTCAACATTAATGCTCCATATGTTAAAGAAAATCCAATTTCTCTTAGCCAGATACGTGCGGTGCAAGTGTATAAATTTGGATTCGGATACATTACAATGTTCTGTTTTAAAGCGCCAAAGGCAGTGGCAGCAGCAGCAGCAGCAGCAGCAGCAGCAACGCCAAAACAACGGCAGCAGCATTAAAATCGTCAAGACCATACGTTACAACGCCCGCCATCATTGAACAACCGGAAATGATAGAAATATCGCTCGAATTGTCGCCGGGGGATTCCAGATAACAAAATTGAGAAGCATTAACGGAATGAAAGACAGAAAGAAAGCAGAGGAAGAGAAGATAAATAAACAATAAAGTAATCTAGGAAAATTGAATAAAAACAATGCAATTTCGTTATTGGTAAAATATTGATCCGCCATCACCTCCGCCAAGAACTTGCCTTTGGCTGGCTGAGGCGAGAGGTTGTTCGAGGGTTCGCTTAGCGCCCAGACGTCATATGGTTTTGTGTTCGTTTCATTTCGTTTAGCGTGTAATTACCAAAGGGAAACACTGATGTGAGTGGTGCGAGGAAGGAAGATAGGGTGTGGGTTTGTTTGTGCTTGTGCTTGTAGGGGTGTGTATTGGTGTGGGTGTGTGTTAAGAACATGTAAGTGGCTTTATTTACAATTTACAATCGTTAACAGAAATCCTTTAAAAGAATTCCTGGTAATGCCGATAAATAGCCTTTAAATACTTTACAGGGAATTCAATCAATAGCTCTGCTTAGGGGGATGGGGTGCAGAGGAAATGAAAATATATTCTAACAATGATTATTGAGTATTTTCTTACTAATATTGAAAAAAGGCACGAAATAGCTGGTTTTTTGTCTATTAGTGTAGGAGGGTATAATCTTAAGTGGGGGGAAACTTCCTAAAAGTTGTAATAAGCTCGTGCGGGAGCAAGCTGTACTGGCATAATGGAAAACAGCTATACATTTTCAAATTTCCTTTCATAGACATGTCGGAGCGATTTTTTCTGGCGAACTAGGCTTTTGTGAAAAATCAAGGGATGTTAATAGAAACGTTGAAGGACCAGATATGCTTTTACGGACGAGCGAAGGCATTTAGTATCAGGATTTTATAATTTTTTTATGTAAAATCGGGGGAGATTTATAAAAATGTTAAAGGACCAGCAATGCGTTTAAAGATGATCGAAAATATTCTGTATCAGGATTTTGTAAGCGGGATTTTGTAAAAAATAAATATCCTTAAGGCTACGAGAATAAGGATCTCTTGGGCTTCGATTTTGACTTTATAAAGATTTATTATGAGATTTTTTTTTTCAGAATCCTCAAAGGCAGAATCGTCGATTTTAAGACTTGCTAAAACGTTCTCTAAGCCTTAAGCTTTGATATATCTTTTTTATACACTCCACCATAGCATGTAGGGTATATTAAATTTGTCATTCGGTTTGACGCCTCGAAATATAAAATTTGGACCCCACAAAGTATATATATATATATACATATATATATATATATATATATATACATATATATATATATATATATATATATATATATATATATATATATATATATATATATATATATATATATATATATATATATATACATATATATATATTTTTTTTTTTCTTGACCAGCATAAAATTCTATGTCGATTTAGCGATGTCCGTCCGTCTGTCCATCTGTCCGTCTATCTGTCTGTCCGTCTGTGGAATTCATTCTAGCTTCCGAACAAAATTAAGCAGATAGATATATTTTTACTCAAATGTATATTATGTTTGCAGAACTTTTGGTATTGAAAATAGACCATGTAGGTCTACGTTTTGGTATAGCTCCCATATAACGGTACCTCCCGATATTCTGTACTTATTTGATTTTAGCGCCAATATTCACCGGATTTGTTTCAAATGTGGTATTTAAAATCCGTCTTAGACAGAAAATTGTCTGTGCCGGTTCATGTCTTCGGATAGCCCCCAGAGAACAGTACCTCCCGGTATTTGGTATTTTGATGGTTTTAGCGGCATTATTTACCGGAATTGTTTTAAATTTGGTATTTGAAGTTCGTAATGGATACTGCTGCCTAAGACAGAAAATTGTCTGTATAGGTCCACGTCTTCGTATAGCTCTCACGTAACCATTTTTGGGTGGCGCATGCTGAGTGCGTTGGTACTGTGGCCTGTTGGAATAGCCAAGGTCTGGAATGTCCAATGTTTGCGTCTCCAAGGCTTTAATACACCCTCCAGAATATATTCGCGATAATATTCCACATTTATTCTGATGCCACGGTCGATTCATACAAGCGGAAAGCGACCATCGGCTGTTATGGCGTTCCACACCATCACCATGGCCGGCGCTTGAGTTATGGTGACTAATCGATGGTGCACATTTTCAGCTGACCTCTTTTGCAAGTGAACACGATCAGTTTGTTTGTTTAAAAACTGCTGGACAAAGAGTGTTTTCTCATTGGAGACGGGCAAAACCAAATTCGGCAGTTCACCACTTTCGGCCAAGCGAAGCAAATCTTTAGCTCTTTTGAGTGTAAATTCTTTCTGTTGCGGTGTAAGTTCTTGCACTTTTTGGAATTTCCATGGCTTTATCCCGAGCTCAGTTTGCAATATTTGCCGAATGGAATATTGCGATATGATCAGCTCACGAGCCATTTTTCGGCCTCTGCGACGCGGGGTTCTATCGTGTCGCTATTATTATTTATTATTATTTTTTTTAATCTTCGAACCATTTCTGCTGATGTTGCTGTTTTCTTCCGTCCACTTCCTTGACGTCGGGATACGCTACCAGTATCACGTTAACGAGCGATGGTATGAGACACAAAAGATTTATGCACATATAAATTCTGGAGTGTCTAACGATTTTCCAGCCAAATATAAAGAAATCACTCTATCACGCTTGTATTGCATCGCGAATAACTGTTTTCTTGGAAAATTATATATATATATATATATATATATATATATATATATATATATATATATATATATATATATATATATATATATATCCACAAGTGGCTATCGTTAGAGCACTCCAGCATTTAAATGTAAATAAATCTTTTCTATCTCGTACCATCGCTCGCTACCATGATACTCATAGCCCGTGGGTATATATATATGTATTTATATATATACTTTTTTTTCAATATTTATATTTTACATTTATATTACATCCATTCCTACTTTTAATGTTTTAATCTTTGTATTTCAAAGGGAAGCCTGTTATTCATTCTTCTAAATTAATTAAAATCATCATTTAAAAAACACAAAATATGCGAACACACAAATAGACACGCACACATATGCGGCGTAAATGAGATTTTCCTCATTTATTGCAATGTGCATTCTGTTCATTACTCTTAATCCTCTTAGATATTTGATTGTTCATATTTCAAATGAATACAGGATTTGGGCTTAGAAAACAGATGAATTCTGAATGTTATATATGGATATTCCTATATCGCAGAGTTATGTATTTCGTAATTATGGCTCGGTTATCACGAAATTTAACATGGAGGTGGGGTTAAGATCAGAATGGAAAAATATTGTTTTTAGAGATGGTCGTAAAATAGTTAGAGGTTGAAATGAAAAAAATAGTGTCATTTCTTTATATTTGGTTGGAAAATCATAAGTGGCTATCGTTAGAACACTCCAGCACTTAAATGTGAATAAATCTTTGGTGTCTCGTACCATCGCTCGTTACCGTGATACTGGTAGCGTAGCCCGACGTCAAGGAAGTGGACGGAAGAAAACAGCAACATCATCAGAAATGTTTCGAAAAGTAATGAAGCTACTTGATCGAAACCCGCGTCGCAGTGGCCGAAAAATGGCTCGTGATCAGGAATATATATGCTTTTTGCGGTCTCCGACAAACATGTCCAGGTGTTGTATGATAGTATAGTGGAGGGCTTAAAAAATTATTGAAAACGCATAAATTTATTTATTTATTTTTTTATACCCTACAACACTATGTGTTTGGGGGATTATAAGTTTGATTGGGCCAAAAATTATGTAACACCTCGAAATATCGGTCTCCCACATAGGAAAGTATATATGGATCTTCCTATCTCGCCGAGCTTTTTTATGCTGATTTCGTTGAAGCCAAATTTCGTAGACAAGCAAATCGTATAGATGAATGTAAATTTGGAGATACAGAGGGCCTCTTGCTTTTGGGAGATCATCGAAAAATATTTGGGGTTCAAATGAACCAAAAACAGAAAAAAATCCTGATCACACAATTGAAGCCAATCGACGCGCCTGAGGAGGGAGCACGACAGAGTGCGTAAATATTGGGCAAATGTGCCTGGTCAAAATGCTAAGGGTAATATCTGGGCAGTGCTCCGTGACATAATTTCAAAAGCCCCCTTATGTCAAAAATAGATTTGGACATAAAGGGCTTCTAACATATTGTAGTGTTGTAGGGTATCACATGGTCGGCCCCGCACGATTATAGCCTTTGCTTACTTGTTTTTTTAATGTGAAATTTATTGTTTTTTTTTCGAAAGAGCCAATTTGGTATTTGATGTATTAGGAAATTCTACTGTTTTTTTAGAGATCGTATGTTTTTGGAAAATAATGGTTTCAGATCCATAAAGATTATTCGAAAAGAGGGTATATTAGGTTAAACATTATTTTTTTTTTGTGCGGTAGATATGGGAATTTTTCCTAGGGGAGTTTAAATTCAGGTCACAAGGGTTTCAGATCTGCAGAAACTTGTATTGTTTTGTTAGTGATTTTGTGAATTTTTGAGTCACCCTACAAGTGCATTGTGATAATCAGTGATAAGACGTGTTATTTAAATAAATAAGCAACTATAATTTTTTGGTTAGCTTAGTGTGTTTACTTATTGTTTTGTCTTGCTTTGCTTTGTCGTGACGTTTGTGTTATACGGTTTGGTATTCATTGTTGTTAATACTGCCCTATACAGTTTGAAAACAACAATTAAAATTTGGTTTTAATAATTTGAAATTAAAGCATACTTTTCGGCATCTAAGTAAATTTATAATAATCTTCTTTCAATAATTTCATACCTGTAAAGCATAACTTAAGGCACAATAAAATGGAGTGTGTTTACAAATGTAACATAACAAA